TTTGAATTTCAATGGCTTTACCCCGAGCTCATTTTTCAATATTTGCCGGTTGGAATATTGCGTTATGTTCAGCTCACGAGCCATTTTTCGACGCGGGTTTCAATCAAGTCGCTTCCTTACTTTTCGAACCATTTCTGATGATGTTGTTGTTGCCTCTTCCGTCCGCCTCCTTGACGTGGGGCTACGCTACCAGTATCACGGTACGATAACGAGCGTTGGTAGAAGGCACAAAAGATTTATTGACATTTAAATGCTGAAGTGCTCGAACGATAGCCACTTTTAGTTTTCCAGCCAAATATAATGAAATCACACAAACACGCTTGAATTCCATCACGAATAACTTTTTTTCTGGAAAACTCTCTCCAAAATACTTTTGTACGCTTGTAAACAATATAATGAGCTGTCTCTGGAATAATTTGAACAGCTGTCGGAAGAGTGGTTTAGAAATGACAGCAGTCTGAAGTTGGTAGCAGTTTTTTTCACCTCACCCTGTAGAAATAACTATATATGCTTGGTAAAGTGATTCATTTTTTTTTTTTCTGGAAAATATGAATCGACAACTGTTTTTCTTAAAATGTTAGGGGAAAATATTGAAAATATCTCTGATTTTTTTTTGGAAAAAATATTTTTAATTAAAAGTTAAAATAATTCTATTTTAATTAAAATTAAAATAAAAATAATTATATTTTAGTCAAAAATTATAAATTAAAGAATTAGAGTTATTTTCTTCTCATTTGGCATTTAGTATAATTAGTAGTTTCAACAATATTTTGGGTTTTATATTTATTTGCAAGCCAATCCACCACATTTTCTCCAAGTGTAACAACTATGTTTGGATATTCGTTAAATCCGTGCAATTTTTGCAATTTATAATAAACAATGGATTTTGAAAAAACAAGCCAGACACAAAATAAATAAATTTCCCAATTAGCAGAAACACAAATAATATTTAAGCATCTAATTATTGAAGCGACGATAGTTTTAATAAAGTTCTGAAATTTAAATTTATTAAAATTAAATTTAGGAAAACAGATAACATTTTAGACATCTTGCGATAGAGAACAGATATTTCAGAAGGTTTTTCGATCAATAGAAAATATTTTTTAATGATTGTCTTCTATTCATAGCAATTGTTTTTGAAGGTTTAAGATATTTTAGAACAAATTTAGAAACGTATTATAGCAGACATCTACGTGGTCATACAAGAGCTAAAAGAACATCTTTAAACGGTCTTACAAAACACTTCTAAAAGCCTTTAAAGAAGTCCTTTATTGGAAAATACAGAAGACATTTAGTAAGTCTGAAATAAAACTGCAACCAACTTCAGACTGCTATCATCTCTAAGCCACTAGTCCGACAGCTGTTAAAATTATTCCAGTGACAGCTCATTATATTGTTTACAAGCGTACAAGAGCATTTTGCTGAGAATTTTCCAGAAAAAAAGTTATTCGTGCTGGAATTCATGCGTGATAGTGTGATTTCTTTGTATTTGGCTGGAAAACCACAAGTGGCTATCGTAAGAGCACTCCAGCATTTAAATGTGAATAAATCTTTTGTGTCTCGTACCATTGCTCGTCATCTTACCGTGATATTAGTAGCGAAGCCCGACGTCAAGGAAGTGGACGGAAGAAAACAGCAACATCCGACAAACAGCAGTAAAGAAGCGACTTTCGGCAGTGGCCGAAAAATGGCTTGGGAGCTGAACATATCGCAATATTCCATTCGGCCAATATTGAAAAATGAGCTCGGGGAAAAGCCTTTGAAATTCCAAAAAGTGTAAGAACTTACACCGCAACAGAAAGAAAATAGACTCAAAAGAGCTAAAGAGTTGCTTCGCTTGGCCGAAAGTGGTGAACTGCCGAATTTGATTTTCTCCGATGTGAAAACATTCGTTGTCCAGAAGTTTGTAAACAACAAAACAAAATGATGGTGTTTACTTGCCAAAGAGTTTAGTTGAAAATGTGCACCTTCAATTGGCCACCAGAACTCAAGCGCCGACCATGGTGATGGTGTGGGCCGCCATAACAGCCGATGGTCGCTACCGCTCGTATTAATCGACCGTGGTATTAGAATAAATACCGAATATTATCGCGAAAATATTCTGGAGGGTATGCCTTGGGCATGCAAACATTTTGGCCGCAGACCCTGGACATTTCAACAGGACTCAGCACCATTGCACTCAGCACACGCCAGCCAAGAATTGTTATAAAATGAGGTTCCTCGCTTCATTTCCAGCGCAGCAATGTGCACCAAAATCTCCGCATACCAATCCGTTGGACTATTGTGTCTGAAGCAATAGCAAGGTTAGCACTAAAAAATATCATAGTGTCGGCCACCCCAAAAAAGCGCTTTTTCGGGAATGGGCCAAAATACCACAGAACAACATTCGAGCAACGTGTGGCAGTTTCATTAGCCGTTTGAAGGCCATAATTCGTGCCAAAGGTGACCAATTCTAACAAATCTGAACTTATTCTAAAATTTGATGCTATTTCCGACATTTTTTGCTTTCATTCAATAAAATGTTAAAAAAAAATTGAAAAATTAGGGCATTTGACTTTGTTGCAGTTTTTTATCTCACCCTGTAAAGAGATCCTATAGCAGACAAGACCTCTGTCTGCCCCCCCTATAAAGGACTTATAGATGACAATTAAAAAAAAATACTCTATAAGAATAAGATGAAAGAACAAAATAAAATATCTTTAAAAGATTTTAAAGAACTTTTAAGGACTTAGAAAAGCTCCTATAGATGACTTTTAAAAGGTATTAAAAAAGATCTTTAGAAGGTCTTACATAATACCTTTACAAAGGTCTTGCAGAAGACATTTAGAAAATCTTAAAGAAGACCTCTAGAAAGGTCTTAAAGAAGGCCTTTAGGAAGGTCTTATAGTGGAGCTTTGGAAAGGTCTCATAGAAGGTCTTAAGGAAGAGCTTTACATAGGGTTACAGAAGAGCTTTGGATATTTCTTGTAGAAAACATTTAGAAATGCCTTAAAAAGCTTTAGAATGTTCTTATATAAGAGCTTTAAAAAGGTATTATGGTAGAGTTTGGAAAGGTCTTAAAGAAGAGCTTTGGAAAGGTCTTAAAGAAAAGCTTTGGAAAGGTCTTAAAGAAGAGCTCTAGAAAGGTCTTAAAGAAGACCTTTAGAAAGGTCTTAAAGAAGAGCTTTAGAAAGGTCTTATAGAAGACCTTCAGAAAGGTCTAATTGAGGAGCTTTAGAAAGGTCTTATGGAAGACCTTTAGAAAGGTCTTATAGAAGACCTTCAGAAAGGTCTTATTGAGGAGCTTCAGAAAGGTCTTATTGAGGAGCTTCAGACCTTTAGAAAGGTCTTATAGAAGACCTTTAGAAAAGTCTTATAGAAGACCTTCAGAAAGGTCTTACTGAGGAGCTTCAGAAAGGTCTTATGGAAGGCCTTTAGAAAGGTCCTATAGAAGAGCTTCAGAAATGTCTTTTAGAAGAGCTTCAGAAAGAAGAGCATTAGAAAGGATTGATAGGAAATATTTAATCGATATAATAGACGGATGTGGAGTCTTAAAGCAGATCTTTAGAAATGTCTTATAGACGACCTTTAAGAACGTCAGAGAGATTTGCAAAGGTCTTATAGAAGAGCTTTGGAAAGGTCTTACAGAAGAGCTTTGGAAAGGTCTTACAGAAGAGCTTTGGAAAGGTCTTACAGAAGAGCTTTGGAAAGGTCTTACAGAAGAGCTTTGGATAGGTCCTCAAAGGTATCACAGAAGAGCGTCAGAAGGGACTCATATAAAAACCTTGGGAAAGGTCTTATAGAAAGCTCTTAAAGAGCTTTAGAAAGGTCTGAGCTTTGGGATGAGAGATATACAAAGATCTTATAGAAGTCCTTTAAAACGTCCTCTAAAACACCTTAATAAGGTCGTATAGAAGGCCTTTATGTGGTTATGGAGTCAAATGTACCCATATTTTTACACCCAAAACATGTGAAATTTGTCCTGATTTTCCCACATAGGAATTTTTTTTCGAAAATCCCTAGAGATTAAATAAATTCCTGATTTTACGAACTTCTCACATTCCGATTTATGTACTTAATTTAGATCGAAAATGGATACTTCTTCCTAGACCTGCTTCTAAAGAAATATAATTGTTAAGAATATTTACTGCCTTGGTAAATGGGGTCCCAACCGCCCACATAGTGGGGTAGGAAGACGTCTTCCATTGAAATTCTTTTCATCTCCTCCGCCTCCCCAACCATTCTTGCGTAATTAATGTCATGTTAAAATTCAATAAAAACCAATACTCAAATTAAGTGCAGTTCATTGATAAGCAGTAATTTGGAATTAGACAAATAATCGGAGAATTTAACGAACTTCCCCAATAAGACACTCACAATACTAACACATACGCACATGCCGACACATATGAGCATTTGATGACTATTACCATCTATTATGTGCTGACCCATTGTCATTCGCATGGCGGGGGTCGGTTGGTCGAACTTCAGCAATGGAATGGTGGCCGTAGAGAATGGAAAGAAAGGGTGTGCTTTGGACATTAAACAATGGCCATGGGTGGCACTCCCACCACTTAGTCGGAATGGCAGTTTGATTGGGAGGGGGGAGGTAAGAAGGCCACTAACGCAACATTTAAGCATTTAACTAACAACAGCGATTAATTACGCTGCTTCGCAATTTGCTTAGGGTCATCAACGCCATCGCCATTGGCATTACACAACCAACTGTTGTTGGTCTTCTGTTTGTTCGATTAGCATTTTAGCCGGCCAATCGAAGCATTGATTGAAATTTGTTTAGGGATTAACGCGGCATTTACTGGGGTTTGGAATTCCGATTAGAATTCTTGGGATTTAAGTGCTTTGGCGTCGAATTTAGTGGAATCAATGTCTACAACCAAGTGCATGTTGGCAATTAAATAATCTGCTTAAATATTTAGAAGGTTGGGAGTGCTTTGTGAGTGTAAATATGTAGAGAAATTTGGCAGAAGTTATGTGGATTTTTGAATGTGAAAAATATTTACCTTTAATTTGCCAGATGAAAGTTTCTTTGTAGGTCTTGTAGGATTAAAGAACGGCCGACAATCTGCAAAAAAAAAGAAAGAGAGAAAGAAATTGGTTATGAGAGGAAGTGAAAATGTGTTTCGATTTCCAGAAAGTTCGGTGTAGAACAGCGATCGCGAAATAAAGTGGAGAGTAGGCATTTGATGAAACTTGCTCTTTGAAGATATGCTCTATAGGGGAACAAAATGTACTAAATAGTACGAACTATTTTAGGGATGTCTTGACTGACTGACTGACTGACTGACTGACTTAACGATTTAACGTCAACGTCCGGACGAAACGGCTGAAGCTAAAATCTTGAAATTTTGGGTGAGGATCACTCTCGGTCCGAAGGACCGTTCGTACCGTTCTTGATACTAGAACGGTACTAAAAGTACTAACGAGTACTAAATACGGTACCCTTTGTATTTGAGGAAGTAGTAGATGTAGAACTAAATTTGGAATTAGGGATCACTCATGCAGTGTATGATAGATGTACCAAATGGTTTTTGGAAATTCGCACTGCAAGTGTATGAAAAGCACAAAAAGTACTACTTTTGGTACCATTTCGTATCATGCGTGGATACGTGGACCTATAATTACAATGACTCGCCACACGAACTGGGACCCATTATGATCTACAACTACCAATTTTCAGAGAAATTCTTGAAAAAAATGTGTCAAAAATCATTACAATACCGAATATTGGGAGGTACCGTTAGATGGCGACCCTATCGAAACGTAGACCTATACATACAATGTTTCGCCACACGAACTAGGACCCTTTATGACTCACAAATACCAATTTTTAGACAAATCAGTGAAAAAATGTGGGAAAGACCATCAAAATACCGAATATCGGGAGGTACCTTTATATGGGGGCTATACCAAAACGTGGACCTATACATGCAATGTTTTGCCACACGCACAGGTACCCGTTGTGACCTACAAATACCAATTTTCAGACAAATCCGTGAAAAAATGTGGCAAAAAAAATTAAAATACCGAATATCGGGAGGTACCTTTTTATGGGGGCTATACCAAAACGTGGACCTATACATGCAATGTTTTGCCACACGCACAGGTACCCGTTGTGACCTACAAATGCCAATTTTCAGACAAATCCGTGAAAAAATGTGGCAAAAAAAATTAAAATACCGAATATCGGGAGGTACCTTTTTATGGGGGCTATACCAAAACGTGGACCTATACATGCAATGTTTTGCCACACGCACAGGTACCCGTTGTGACCTACAAATGCCAATTTTCAGACAAATCCGTGAAAAAAATGTGACATAAATCATCAAAATACCGAATATCGGAAGGTACCGTTATATGGGGACTACACCAGAGCGTGGACCTATACATGCAATGTTTTGCCACACGCTCAGGCTATGACCTACAAATACCAATTTTCAGAAAAATCCGCGAAAAAATGTGGCATAAATCATCAAAATACCGAATATCGGGAGGTGCCGTTATATGGGGACTATACCAGAACGTGTACCGATATATCTCATTTTCAATACCAACCATCCTAGACACAATACAAATTGCTCTGCTAACTTTTGGCGCTCTACGTCAAATAATGTGGGCTGTATGGTGATTTCAACAGACAGACAGACGGACATCGTTAAATCGACTTAGAATTTTACGCTGAATTTATACTTTATGGGGTCTACGACGAATATTTAAGGATGCTACAAACGGAATGACAAAGTTAATATACCCTCCCTTCCAAGGTGGAGGGTAGAACAAAATTACTAAACAGTACTAAATTTTGTACTTGACTTGACTTGGAGGTAGTTTTTACAATTTGTACTTATGTCCACAAAAAGGACTGAATGGTACAAAAATTGGTACACTTTCGATTTCGGTGAACCCATAGAGCTGGAATTCTGAAATTAAGAAAGAAATTACCATTGCATTCTAGAACTGAGATATAAAAGTAATTTCTGAAATTCGCATTTATGTTACAATTGGTACTAAATTGGTTACAATATAAATTTTGAGGGAACCGATAGAGTTGGAATCGTGAAATTTTTAATTGGGATTACTGTGGGAGTGTACGTTTGACTTCTGCATGAAGCTTTGTAAATTCGTATTTATGTAAACTAAGTGGTACTAAATTTGCTAAATTTTGGTTTTGAGTAAAGCGATAGGATTGGAATCTTGAAATTGGGAAATAAAACTTCTATTGGATTGTATGATGCAGGTTGTTGCGTAAATCTCCACTCATGTGTACTGAATAGTACTAAATTTGGTACATATTAGAATTATGGTGAACCTAGAGAGCTGTAATTTTGAAATTTAAAAATAGAATTTCTATGGGATCATATGCAGGTAGTTTTGGGCGTTTGGAGTGTAGGATTGGGGTACGTAGGAAGTTAGGGAAATTCGTACTTATGTGTACTCCATCAGGTACAATTCGGGTTTGTGCGAACCGATAGGGCTGTAATCCTGAAATTTCGAACTAAGTTCACTGTTGGATTATAGGATTGGGTTATTTAGGAACTTTTAGAAATACGTACTTCTCTATACTAAATTGTACTAAATTTTGGTACAAATTGGATTTGGGTGAACCTATAAAGCTGGTATTTGAAATGATTTTTAGAAATAAGTACTACAAGAGTACAAAAGGTAATAAATGGTACAAAATTTTGGACTGATTGTACGGATAAAGTTAGATTTGTGAATGGGTCAGAATTGGTATGTAGTGTTGTGGTATGAAATTGGTTTTAGAAAAACGTACCGGTTATGTACGAAAGACACTAAATTGTACTCAAGTTTAAATTATGGTCGATATTGGCATGTAGGGTTTGAGATATGAAGTGGTTTTGAAAAAAATGAATGTTGATGTTGTGTAGGATAGACAAACTACAGGGTATTTTGAAATTCTAATATACGTGTGCCAAGAGTAGGGAAATGCACTGGATTTAGTGCAATTTAGAATTATAGGGTCTTAAAGAGGAAAAACCTTAAAATGTAGTATGGGAAACAAGTTTGAGATATGAAGGTGATTTTTAAAAAGGGTACTAAGTGTGCGAACTGTTCTAAATGGTACTAAATTTGAAACAGTTTGGTTTAGGGTGAACGGTTGAAGCTGGAATTTTGACATTTTGTATTGCGGTCCCCGGTGATGGTTGGATTGTGATAAAGAAGTGGTTTTGGAAATTGATACCAGGAGAAAAGTACTATATTTGCACAATTTGATATTGGATAGCGCTCGAAATCCGAAATTTATTATTATCGTCGCAGTGCATGTATATCCTGGACACATGAAGGAGGATTCGGAAATGTGTACTAATTGTACGAAAAGTACTATATTTGGTATTTAATGAACGAATAGGCTACAAAAGTTATATATCACTTGATACGGCCAAAACGAGTCTCATCGAAGACCCTAGGTCTCCTTAAACCAAATCCATTTCAGGTCATCTGGAGTCGATCTAGCGATATCCAACCGTCCGTCTGTCTGTATGGCTGGTGAACACGACAACTGTCAAAGGGAGTATCCGATTTGATCCAAACTTGATAAATAGTACTATGATTGTCAAACTTAGATCGAGTGCGAAGATAGGCAATATCGGTCCACTCCTTCTGGTACCTCCCCCAAAAAAGTTCAATATTTTCAAAGAATATATTTTTTGCACAGAAAGAGAAAGAGGATAATTATCCGATTTTGATCCAACCTTGCAAATGCTAATCTTTGTATTACTGCTATGTCAGGTAAGAAAATGGATAATATCGGTCCACTCCTTCTGGTACCTCCCCCACAAAGGGTCAAAATTTTGAACATTTATGAAGCTCATAAAACTCGAAGTTAACACCCGATTCCATTCAGACTTGGCATATCTCATTATATCTATCAAAACAAGATTTGTTAGAAAGATGGTAGAGATCGGACCATTCTTTCTGGTACCTCCCCCACAAAGGGTCAAAGTTTAGAATAACAAAAACGATCATAAAATCCGAAATAAGCATCCAACCTCTTCAAATTTCACACATCCAAAACATTTTTGCTAACACAAGGTCTCTTATGAAGATGATACACAGGGTGAGATGAAAAAACTGCAACCAAATTCAGACTGCTGTCATTTCTACACCACTCGTCCGACAGCTGTTAAAATTACTCAAGTGACAGTTCTTACTATTGTTTACAAGCGTACAAAAGCCTTTTTGTGAGAATTTTCCAATAAAAAAACGTAATTCGCGGTGGAATTCAAGCGTGATAGTGTGATTTCTTTATATTTGGCTGGAAAACCACAAGTTGCTGTCGTCAGAGCACTCCAGCATTTAAATGTGAATAAATCTTTTGTGTCTCATACCATCGCTCGTTACCGTGATACTGGTAGCGTAGCCCGACTTCAAGGAAGTGGACGGAATAAAACAGCAACATCAGCAGAAATGGTTCGAAAAATAAACAAGCGACTTGATCGAAACCCGCGTCGCAGTGGCCGGAAAATGGCTCGTCAGCTGAACATATCGCAATATTCCATTCGGCAAATATTGAAAAATGAGCTCGGGGTAAAGCAATTGAAATTCCAAAAAGTCCAAAAACTTACACCGCTAAGGAGCTAAAAAGTTGCTTCGCTTGGCCGAAAGTGGTGAACTGCCGAATTTGGTTTTCTCCGATAAGAAAACATTCGTTGTCCGGCAGTTTGTAAACTAACAAAATGATCGTGTTTACTTGCCAAAGAGGTCAGCTGAAAATGTGCAACTTTGGTTGACCACCAGAACTCAAGCGCGGGTCATGGCGATGGTGTGGGCCGCCATAACAGCCGATGGTCGCTCTCCCGTATTAATTGATTCGTATTAATCGACCATGGCTTCAGAAAAAATGCCGAATATTATCGCGAAAATATTCTGGAGGACATCCGAACAGGACTCAACATCAACGCATTCAGCACGCGTCACCCAAGAATGGTAACAAAATGAGGTTCCTTGCTTAATTTCTAGCGCACAATGGCCACCAAAATCTCTGGATACCAATCCGTTGGACTATTGTGTCTGATGTATTTTGGAAAGCAAGGTTGACACTAA